GAATGAAGGTGACCTCGTAAAGACTGTTAAAGCTAAATTGCTGAAAATGATTGAAGATGAAAAACAAGATGGTTCAGTTGACTTTCCTGTTGGAGACAAAGCATATATTTTTGATGCCATGGCAATATTACAAACATTGACAGTTCTCCCAGCAACATTTGGAGAACTTGCAACGGATTTGCTGGCTAAGATCGTCAACACTGCTGTTTCTTTAAATTTCAGTCGGGTTGATTTCGTCTGCGATAGACATCCAGAAAAAAGCATCAAGAATTTGGAGAGGGACAAGCGAGCTATGGGTGGAACTAATGTCATTCGTATATACAGCGAGCAACAGCGAGTTCCTCGGCAGTGGAAGAAGTTTATGGCCTCTGGAGAAAACAAAGAAGAAATTATGAAATTTATCTTCAACACCTGGAGAAATGCGGATTCACAGGCTCTGAAAGGCGTCGAAGTGTTTCTCGCACACGAAGACAAATGTCATAAGTTAACCGAGTTATTGGGCGATATGAGCTGCACTGAAATTGAAGAACTTTCCTGTGATCATGAGGAAGCAGATACTCGTATGATTGCTCACGCAAGACATGCATCCCTGTCTTATTCCAATGTCATCGTTAAGAGTCCGGATACAGACGTGTTCCTTATTGCACTGAACGCTATAAACGACATTATTGCTAATCTGTTTTTTGAAACTGGGAAAGGAAATGCAACGCGAATCATCTCGCTCAACAAGACGAAACAGCATATCGGAGAACAATGGTGTTCCTCGTTAATAGGCTTCCATGCATTCACGGGTAATTAAACCGATTTACGTATACATACATACATACATACATAAGAATCATTATGTGGTCACCACCTGATGTCTCTTCACAGATGAAGAGAAAAATACGCTTCAGGGACCATTTATTATTTATGCCAGGGGGGCCTGCCAAGATTTATCAGTTATTTGAACAAAATGCCTTGACCCCCCTTTGTACAAATACAAAATACCATTACTCCTCCCTGCACACTTTTAAAATGCAGACCCTCCTCCCCCCTCCCATCCCCTAAATATGTTGGTGCCAAGCGAGAAAATTTTGGAAATTTGAAGTCTCTATATTGTCGGAAATTGCATTTTTAGAGTTTCTTTCCTAACTTCAAAGTCTTTCGATCCTGCCCGAGTGTTTCTCGCACACCAAGGTCCCGACCTTGGTATTACTAGCCCAACGCTGTGCATCTGAGCTACGCGGTCAATTCCAATTACATATCTTATATTAAATGTGACATTTATGTATTCAAGGCTTATCCTTTCTGGATAGGTTGTGACACAACAAGTGCTTTTTATGGAAAAGGCAAAGTTAAAGCGTTGAAAATTGCTAGGACGAACGACGAGTATGCAATTCTTTTTGGAAACTTGGGTAAAACCGTCACACTATCGACACAACTAAAGAATGGGTTATACGGTTTCGTGTGTCACCTTTACGGTTACGAAGGTAGGTCTGATGTTAATTCTGTTCGGTATGAAATGTTTAAAGGCGGCAAATACGATGAAGAGTTACTACCCCCGAATCAAGATTCACTTGACAACCATATACGTCGAGCTAACTATCAATGCTACATCTGGCGACATGCCGTGCAGCCAATATTACGTCTGCCAGACTTTTGCGACCACGGTTGGAAGTTGGATGAAGAAGGAAATGTCACAATTAACTGGATGTCTCAACTGTTCCATACATCATGATATTTTGTAAAGAAATGGCCACCCTCCTGGTCCAATATTAGCCATGGGGGTTGTTAGTTGTAGATACGTATGTTCCTGGTTGCCCTGATAACCAGTCAAACATTGACATTGTTTCATTTAACGCAGAAGTTACTTTTGAGCTAATCTATAGGATTATAAAATATGGAAATGTTTTGTATTATGGTATAATAAAGCATAATTATAAGAGAAAATAAATGATAAAATTCAGTCAAATATGTGGCCTATAAACTCGTAACGAAAAACACTAGCTAATATTAGCCAAAAAGGTTAAAAAAGAAAACCACTAAAAAACATCGATCTAAATCGTAACGCGGTCACGAAATGGAAAGGCTGGGGACGAGATAAGAGGACCTAGGCCGATGTTATACGAAATTCAAAATGGCGGGCGATGGCATGTTGTTTGTCGAATAAATGAAAATATAAATGGCAATTAAAAAAATACTGCGGGTCTACGGAGCGGTAACTCTTCAGAATCGTGTTCAGCATATTCGAAAATAGTAAGTAATGTAAAAATATTTCAGTTCTAACACATGCTAAATGAAAATCGTTTTCTAGGCACTTTTTGGTGCCTCAGCAAACGGCCTAAATGTCATCTTTTTCAAATCTGACAAGTGTGAACGAAAAAATTGTAAATTTGGGAAGGTTGAAATTATCTGCATTATGAATATATTAAAATTTGCAAGTATTGTATAAACATGAACACGTTCAAGTCTTAGGCCTGTTTTATACGTCGAATTTTGGTCGCGTCGAATGCAATTAAGACAATAGATAATGAGATGATAAACCTCATTAAGCTTCATTATCTATTGTTTGAATTGCATTCGACGCGACCAAAATTCGACGTATAAAACAGGCCTTAGAAATTATTACAGACAAGTATATTTAATTAATACAGGGACAACAGAAAACAATATTTAAAGAACAATTAGTAGTGAACAATTATTAAAGAAAATCACAATCCTCTGGTCATCAACTTCAATTAAATACTTTAATATTTATACAGGAAAATTAATACTAGAGAAAGGAAAGATACCTGGACATTTCTTCGCACTGCATTACTGTAAGCTGGGAAAGGTCTAGCTTGTTGTCAAGCCTTCGACCCCTGGCCGAAGGCTGCATCCAAGATTCCAAGAACAAATAGTCGATGTAACTTCATAAGTCGCACTTCATCACTTGCAATTTAACATCTTCGACCATCTTATATCCCAAACTTTTACCAAATTTTTCCGAGTTTTACCTTGAATTTTAAGCAAATATCAGTTCTATTTTGACCGACTTTGGGCAAATATCAGTTCCATTTTGACCAACTTTGACCAACGTTTGAATTATTGGGGGTGTTACCCCCCATAGCGACGTCCCTGATCGCTCGAAGAAGTGCTGCTATCGTCGTGCAACATAACGTTAACCGTTAAAACATCTCGAAAGCGTCTCCTGACAGAAAAGCAGATGTAAAATGAGTAGTGTTTACATCAAACTATCAAAGAGCGAAAATATTAGCAAAAAGGTTAACATATAGCAAAAAAAGGAAAATTAATACCTTCGTGCGATCGCCATTTGTATTTTTTGACACAAGATTTCCTGCCGTACGGTGAATAACACCTGAAGATCTTAATTAATTACCCAAAAACACATACGGCAAACGACTAACCTCGAACTGCGGTTTGCGGTTCGCCGTAAACGTCAATCTTAATGTCCCTATTAGCAACTTTTGAAGCGAAGTAGTCTGCCCGGCAAGATTTTCTCATTCTATTCACTTTATTTCGGTAGAATTTGAAAAGAGTAGTGTCAGTATTAGATGAAAACGCACGTTGTCGAAACTTGATCAGCTGTTTCAATTTTTCGGTTATCCATGGGTTGTCGTTACGATGGAATTTAAATTAACGTGTTTCTCAGGCATAAGGATGTCATAACCCGTCTTTATTGCGGAGCATAAGATATCACAATTTTTATCGCACGGTTCGGAGGAATCGATCATTTACCAGTCAAAGATATTCAGGTATCGACCAAGTTCTTTTTTGCGTGATTGACAAATGCCACCCTCTTTTTATAATTTTTTTTTCTGATAATCCGAAAGGAGGGAAAACTATTGCTGGTTGTACATCGTAAAATTTATGCATGTTTGTAAGTATAAGATCCAAAATCTTGGCACTACGAGTTGGTTTATCAACCAATTGTTTTAACTGAAAATCCCGGCAAAGTTCTTTAGTGTCAAAGTGGTTAAAATCACCAGCAATAATAATTCCACAGCCTGGAAAAAGACTTTCTAATAGTGTCAGTGAGTCAGATAGGTATTGAAAAAGATCTGTATTGCTGGAACTTGGAGGATGGTAGACGCATGCAGAAACAGTGCCGTTAATTTCCCTTGGTAATCTTGGTGGTCTAATGTGTGTCCATAAAACCTCAAAGTCTGAATGTTCAATATCAGGTAATCGTTTGAAACGGATGGAATTCTTTATGTACATGTAGACACCACCGTGGATACCAAGACTACGATCCCGCCTCACGAGGTGGTAATCAAAAATAAAGTCGCATGGGTGTCACAAACGGACTCTCACAGCCAAGTTATAAAACCCAAATCAAAACCTTGTGCAGAGGTCAAAATACGTAGCTCGTCAAGCTTAGGAACTAGAGACATGACATTAGTTAGCATAATTTTTGGAACGAATTCAGTTCTTGGAGAATGAGTTTTGGTAATAGGAATTTTAACAAGGTTACTGAGATTTCGAGTACGCATTTGTTTAAGTCGGCCGAAATGCTGTCTTCTAGACCTTCCCATAGTAGGGATGTTTTGCAAGGGTGTCTCCGCCATTATGCAAGGGTTGAGTAGCTCCCATTCTGGGTCGAGTTTATTTTTTTTTTCTGAGTTGTGTTCATGTCATGATCTTTTGGTCTCCATGCATGGTTTGCAAGTAACAAACGTGGGCCAGACGTTTTCCTTCTCCACCAGTGCACTGGCGCCTGAGGGTATATGAAGTTTACACGAAAGAGTCTCTCGACGGCGGGTTCGAAACACCGAGATATAAGTGGGAAAAATATTTCATTGATTGAGGTAAAGCTTCGGATACACGAGCAATGTTTTTGCTGCGATGGTTACGCAATGGGTGATAACAGCATTGCGTTGCCGTCGCACAAGATGGCTACACCCGCAATATTTCACCTGCAATATATGTCTTCATAACGCTTTTCATTGGCTGGTCAAGAAACGTGTCATTCATCAACCTTGACCTTCCTTGACCACACCTCCCAATTTTGGGCAATCATTGCCGAAAATCAAATGATTTGAAATTTCGGCGACGATTGCGCGCAGCTTTGCGTTGCCGTCGCAGAGCATGATACACAAGCAATTTCTTTCTCGCGACGGCAATGCAACGAATTTACCACCATTGCATTGCCATCGCCAGTAAAGTATTGCCCGTGTCAGTATCCGTTGCTTAAGAAAGGATTTGACTTTCGTTTACACTTTCGGCAATTCCCGTTACGAACAATTTTTTGGTCTTACCACGTTTACGCCGTACTCCAAATAAAATAATCAGGCGACTGACCAGCCTCAGAAACCACACTCTGCGAGGTATGCTCCGATTTCTTGCTTAGGTTATTCTTGGTAGGATCTTGGTGGATTTTTTTGGTGGCGGGTTGATTAGCCGTTTTTTCTGCGTAGGTAAGGTGATGTGCTTTCGTATTATTATTAATTATCTTCTATAGAAACATCTACAGATGCACTATTTGGGTTTAACTCGTTAAGCTGATTATTGTATTCTTCACGATTAATTGGCCGTGGTTCGGTAGCGCTCCCATTGTTCATTTGAGGATTAGTCGATCTTCTATGACAAAGAATTATCAACACCAGCACTGTCGGCATCTACATAATCAGTAAGCTCGTCCAATACGCAAGGTTGCTTGGGCAAAGCGGAAATATCAGAACCAGTCTTGTTTTTGTTCACCAAATCTTGTAACTGAGAAGTTATATACGAGATAGAGCCCGATAGAGACTGGATTGCTTCGCGATTGATTTGTTGACCCAGTTTTAGATCTTCAATATCCGTATGCACATCATCAGATAATTCATTTGATAGTTGAGTGTGGGCTGAGGCAGATACTTGTGAATTATTTGCATGATAATTACACATCCGTTTGCATAACTCTCTCATGATTTCGGTCGCATTTTCTCCATTGATGGAAAGCAAACCCTTTTTCTTTCTCCATAGTATAGTTGATGTAATCACAACTAAACAACTTTCTATCACCTCCAGGCTGTTCCCAAGTTCCTTTGAGTTGTAAATCTTCGCTTACGAACTGTTTTAGAGACTCATAAGTACCTGACCATGCAATACAGAACAGTGCTCACCAACCATCTCACTTCTAACGAGGGTACGAGGTTGGGCCTGACCCTGGGGACGAGTTTGCAAATTTTTTTTGTTTTTTTTTTTAAAGTGGAAACACGACATAGATTATTTTCGGGCGCCATATCCCATATTTTGAAACTCGTGTTGTTTGCAAACTGCGCCTCTGAATATTCTCATTTTTATGATCAGAAATTCTGTAAGAACCGAAGTATTATAAACTAGGAGTTACTATCGCAAGGAAAATGCTACCGATATGTACATGTAGGATGTGCTACAAAAAGAGCGTTTTTCACTGTATGTATGATTTATTGTCTTACACATCGTTGTTCCTCAGTTACCTTCGTACAATTATATCTTACATCTAATCTTATGAAAAGTATATTTTAATATACTTAACAGTGCGACTTTGATAGTTGACACATAATATAAATGATAAAATGTGAATATTATTGAATGATTTTGTCACTGGTACAACTTTTAATTTGGCTATTCAAACAATTGATTTAAAATAGTTGAATTTATACTTACTGGGATGTTATTGCTTATTGGGATGTTGAAATTATGTTTGTTTTAAATACATTTAATTGATATTCCATAAATTCATTTTGTATGATTTCATTGACCTTGACGTTGTTCAAAATCATTTTGTATTGTATTGAAACTGTATGTCTATGACCTATGTTATGTACTATATTAACCCATTGAGTCGCATTGCACCCTGATGCACCCTACTTTGAACAGTATTTTACTCTGTCTAACGCCAGACGATTTTACTCGTCAAGGGGAGAGTGCTGGCGCTTAATGGGTTAACTGATCTATCTGCCCATGTGTCTAGTTAACCCATTGGGTCGCATTGCACCCTGATGCACCCTACTTTAGTATTTTACTCTGTCTAACGCCAGAGTATTTTACTCTGTCTAACGCCAGACGATTTTACTCGTCAAGGGGAGAGCGCTGGCGCTTAATGGGTTAACACGCCCAAAATCTGTACTAAAACTGCTAATTCTGTTTTGTGATTGGTACAGTTTAATCAAAGAATCCTCCCGTTGAACCAGAGCCTTCACGATATTTCAATTTATTATTAACTGAAGGCTCTGGAATCCAGGATAGCTTGCCATTGAATACAGTGTAATGCTTATATTTCTGAATGAATAAGATCATACTCAGAACAGTCAGAACTGCAAAACTATATTGTTAGAAAGAAGTTGAAGTTGTGAGCATTATTGTGGTAACACAGCCATATGTATATATCAATGTATGTCAGTAGAATAATGTTTATAGGCTTTATATATAACTGAGGCCTTATACAAGTCATATCTTATACAAAAGTCAGTTGATATGCTATATTACATGTAATTGCTGATAAGTCCATATATGCAGACAACAACAATCCACACTGGGTAGCTCTAGGAATCTTGTTAAGCCTGATTTAACAACATCCCGCGTTTGTTTTTAAACTATAAACATTTAGAAATAGAACGTACCGAACACTATTATATACTCTCCGCCTTTGGCTTTGCACATATTAAGTGACATAACAAACAAATAAACTAAAAGTTCATTTGCTTCTTGTATCAGCATAAAGGCATTAATCATTACTGTCGATTTGGTCGGAAATAGATCAGTGATTCAGTGGGTATTATAATTGCCGATATATTCTTGAAATCATATTGTTTCAATGCCTCTATATCGAAGTTTAATACACTAAAGTGACTAAATAAGTATAAACAGCAGATTTAAATATAAATGCCTTCATGTATTATAAAATATATCACCAGACAGGTAGACAGGGCACACGGCACGACTACATCACTATACGAGAACGAAACAAAGCCATCCTTACCTGAATTATTCAAAATATTGTCGATCATTCTTGCGCCAGAGACACAAAATAACACCGTGCTTTATTTACCCATTCATCTTCACAAATATTACTCGGAATTTTTATGGAAATTCGCATTATTTTATGATTTTTATATTTCTGTCGGTTTATAACAGTCGCCATGTTGTGAACAAACCCCCCCGGGAACAAAAAAATAATATCAAAACAGCTAGTTTTGGCCCGTCCGTGGATGACAAAATGACATAAATCGAGATTGTAGCGGCTATAAACTCGGTGGTCACGTGGTAAGCACACCACGTGTAGAGATTAGTGTGCTGCCTCGCTACGCTCGGCAGCAATTAAAGATTCAATAAACAACGACTCGAGAGAACAGTTGGGTGATATTTTTATCGATATTTGACCGTACGGGAAAAGATCAAAAGCTGAAACCATGTCTAGGAAATGCTAGGTTTGTAACAAGGTATTTTCTACGAAAGGAAGTTTGGTGAGACACAAACGAACACATACTGGAGAGAAACCTTATGAATGTGATGTGTGCAACAAAAGATTTTCGCGATCAGGCGACTTAGCTAGACATGAAAGAACACACACTGGAGACAAACCTTATGAACGTGAGAAACGTTATGAATGTGATGTTTGCAACAAAAGATTTTCACAGTCAAGCACCTTACTTACACATGAAAGAACACACACTGGAGACAAACCTTATGAATGTGATGTTTGCAAGAAGAGATTTTCATGCTTGGGTAACTTAACCAAGCATAAAAGAACACATACTGGTGACAAACCTTATGAATGCGATGTTTGCAAGAAGAGATTTTCGTGGTCAGACGGGTTAGCGGTTCATAAGAGAAGACACACTAAGGAAAAACCTAATGAATGTGATGTTTGTAACAAGAGATTTGCACAGTCAAGCACCTTACTTACACATGAAAGAACACACATCGGAGACAAACCTTATGAATGTGATGTTTGCAAGAAGAGATTTTCATGCTCGGCTAACTTAACCAAGCATAAAAGAACAGATACTGGTGACAAACATTATGAATGCGGTATTTGTAGGAAGAGATTTTCACAATCAAGCCACTTAGCTACTCATAAAAAAATACATACCAGAGACAAACCAGGTTATGAATGTCACGTTTGCAACAAAAGGTTTTCAGAATCACACAGTCTAACAAGACATAAAATATCAGCACACAAGGGAAATCAGAGTTTTGGGTGTAATAACTGCAAGAAAGTCTCAAACGTCACTGGAGATCACACTTGAGAGATGGCTTCTTATTCTGCCACACCTGTGGCAAAGAAATTTTTCAAAGTCAAGGACATGCTATTGAGATAATGAGTGAAGATCATTTTGTCTATGACAAATGCAACAAACAGTTCCCTGATATTGAAAGTTTATATCAGCACAAGGCCAAAGATCATGGTACGTCCTACCAATGTGATGTCTGTAAGGAATTAGAAGCAAGAGAAGCAACTGGTATTGGTTATATCTGTTGTGTCTGCGATGTCGAGTTTGAAATTGCCACTCAACTTGAAGTTAAGATCATATCAGTATGCATGACAATGTGCTAACCCACTAGCTGGCCAAGATAACTGAAACTACTGTATTTGGGGTTTTATTGGGCTGATGTGATATGGAAAAAATCAATATATCGATATTGAACAAGAATATGGACTACATCGAATTATGAAATTAGAAAACGTAGTTTAGTCAGCCTGCACTGTTCCTGAAGTAAATCCAAACAGAGCTTTGAATTGTTGATTTGATATATTTATTGTCTAGACTTTCCTTCAGTGAGTCTAGACAGTGAATTAGAAGGAGCTGTGATATTTTGATTCCATCTTTATGAGTCACCACACAGTTGTTTTTAAAAACTACCACTCTGTTTACACTTTTAAATTGCCAACATGCTCACTTGAATTCTCAATTGCCGTCACATGTGCGTTTTCTCAACTTTACAGAAGGAGATTAAGTTCTCTAGTTAAAAGGTTCCATACTGTCGATATGCGAAAAGTGGATAGTATTTTCAAATATTAACATTTTTGAAATACAGGTATTGATATTTATCAAATATATATATATATCACATCAACCTAGGTAATGTGTTGTGCTGAAACCTCTCTTGAAATTTATTTGAAACTGTTTTGCCCCAGTTTGAGATTGTTTGAAATTGGTTGAATTGTTTAGAGATTATTTTGACAAAGTAATGCAATGAGCCAATGTAACTGTTTTTAAAATATGATTGAAAAGTGATATTGATAATTGACTGTAATGCATTTTGAACTAAAGTCATTTTGTATATATCTGGGTTTTTCTGTTAGAAGTTTGTTAAAATAGTGGATTCTTAGTATAATAAGATTTGGTTAGAATAGTAGAACTTTGTTTTTGTAATTCATTTTGTCATTGTCAATTTTATATCTATTTTGAAATTTGATATATCTACAAGCATGCATGGGCGACTCCAGCCGCATCTGCATAGATGGGTGCAGGTTTTCCATGGTGTGGTGCATGAGGGAGCCTTACTGCTCACTCTCCTCTGCCGTCTGCAACGCTACCATCCAACGACACCATTATTTGAGATGGTCGAATCTGCATGTTCGCCGTTCCGTTATGTTTTACATTATATTGTATTTATATCGGCTTTCCCCATGCATGCGTGACTGGACAGTTGCTGTAGCACAGTACAGTACAGTAAATCTGCTTGTTACAGTACAGTATATGGCTGTATAACAACCTTGACATGTTTATTATTTAGTCGTGATATTTAAATATAAACAATCTGAGTATTGTCTCATAGAAGTTCTATTCTAACCGCTATTCGAAAAGCAAGAAATGTATGGTCAAGGTTAGCAGGGTTTTTTAGTTTTTATTCCGCAATCTTTTCATAGTGAACTTTATGCGAACAATAACCTATCATACAGTGCAATGAACACTGCTAGGTCTGCGTTATCCTTGGTTAGATTTTCCCCTGAGGGCTGTACATTTGGAAACCACTCCCTATTGAGTCGACTGCTAAAAGGCGTTTTTACAACAAGACCATCATTACCACCATATCATTGTGTGTGAGATGTAGCGACCGTGCTAAAGTATTCAAAAACACTGCCTCTAATGAGGCTTGCACCTCCGGGACCTTACTTTGAAAATAACCATGCTAATAGCATTGCTTTGTAGTCAACGTTGTAAAACCATTCACGGGCTGGATATCAGTGATATGCAAGTGGTTTGTCATCCAAACCAGCAATATGTTTTCCAGATAAACAAGCTATTGAAAACCTCAAGACCAGGGAAACACTTCAGCCATTTGACGCTACAAGCATATCCAGGAGATGAACAGCTATGCATTTTCAAAACTATACTGTTGATAAGCTACCAGCAGCCACATAAGCCGGTGACAACTGATACCATTGCAACGTGGCTGAAAACAGTTCTGGACAAAGCAGGAATTGACACTAATATTTTCCATGCACATAGTACCAGAGCAGCATCAACATCTGCTGCAAAGACAGCAAAATTGTCCGTTAACACCATCATGACGGCTGCTGCGTGGACAAATGCTTTGATACTTAGCAAATTCTGTGATCAACCGGTTATTTCAGAATCAACTGAGAACTCTGAAAACTTTGGACATAACTTACTGCAATCATGGTATCCATTACATGGGGACGTTTTGACATAGGGCAATTTCAGTTCTTAATATTACATTGGGCAATTTCAGTTGTTACAGTCAATTTCAGCTGAATTTTCACTCAAATGTTCCAAACTTCGTTCCGAACTTCGCAAATTCGTTGCCAAGTTCAAAAGTTCATAATGAAATTCACAAACGGGTTTGTAAACTGGGCATTTGATTGGCTGGTTTAATTTAATAGCCAATCAGAGACTTTGTTTACAAACCTGTTTGTGAATTCATTATAAACTTTTGAACTTGGCAACGAATTTGCGAAGTTCGGAACGAAGTTCGGAATCTTACGGTGAAAGGTCAGCTAAAATTGACTGTAATAAAAGTTCCTTGTTTGGTATATCATTAATATCAATAAAGAATTGGTATAGGTTCAAATCTCACGTGACTTCGTAGCGACGTAGACCAATGGCGAAGTAGAATCAGAAAATTAAACGAGATTTTATACCTGGAAATTGAAGCTTGATTGAATTTCTACAAGTCATTGGTCAGGAGCGAAGAAGTCACGCACCTACCCATTCACATTATGGATTAACATAAACTGCTATCAATAATTACCCTACCTGTAATACAGCAGTTCTTAATGTCTGTTTTCGATCAACTTCTGTTCAATCGTACCGAAACGTAGCGTATTTATTTGTTTCTTGAGCGGTAGTGTGGAACTAATGACCTCGACACAAAAGAGAGGGTCCTGAAGGGGTAAAATGGGAACTGGGATTGATCTATTTTTAGACTGGGAAAATGGGATTTGGGTTGCAGGGACTGGGATTTGTCCACTGGGAATGGGAAATGAAGTCCTCAAAAATGGGAATGGGATTGAGGTAATGTGAGTCGATTCCCAATTTTTCTGCGTTTTGAGTATTTTAAAATACAATTTTGATCCGTTTTTGGTGTCTTTGGTCATGATTTTTGTTGTTAACTATATTATTCACAGCACTACCTGCGAACAGGCATACTCTGGCGCCCGGAATTCTGGGTTTTATGATTATGCGTGTCTCAGAATGCTGCAAATTCCGGGATTCAAATACATAAAGTGTCCGCCACTTGCTTAAAAGGTCTTAAAACTGTTTATTCTACCGATAAATAAAGGGGTTTTTATTGACTGGGATTTCAATAACTGGGACTGGGATTTGTAATAAAAATCCAACTGGGACTGGTATTTTGCCAAAATTTCGGGTGGGAAATGGGATTGGGACCCCCCTTCAGGACCCTCAAAAGAAAATGCTACGGTACGTTACGATACGGGTGAAGTGGAAAACGGGCTTAATAGTCATTCAGAACGTATCTCATTCTCTAGCGGATCGAAACACTCCCAAATAAACCCAGAAAAGTCAATTACACATTGTGGTAGTGGTAAGCAACTTTATTTCTCAATTTAATATAATATTTTAGCATTTTTTGAATTTTAACAATACATATTCTGTCATAGTGAACTAATATAAAAATGCAAATATACCCCAACAACGACATGTGAGCTTGGGATGACTCAATTTCGATCCCCGAGCTTGCGATCCTCGGGAAGGAACGTGAGGCTCTGGGATAATCCGTTTCAGGAAGGAATCTGATTGGCCGTTGATGTGGATTGTGCAGTTCGGTCTTAGCCAGGATTCCTGGCTTACGGCAACGGCTTATCCCAGAGCCTCACGTTCCTTTCCGAGGATCGCAGGCTCAGGAAACGAGATTGGGGATGACTGTGGTTTAATTTTCTAATTTTGTTATATGAAGCAGGAGGTGAGCGATGGTAATACCCTGAGTACGAGGTTGGGCGGGCCTGACCCTGGCGACGAGGTTGCGTTGCAAGCACTGGCACTGGTTGCAATAATTTTTGTTTTTGTAAAGTGGAAACACCACATGGATTATTTTTGGGCGCCATATTTTGATACTCGTGTTCGCAAACTGTGTCTCTGAATATTCTCATTTTTATGATCAGAACTTTTATAAGAACTGAAGTGTTATAAAGATTCAGTAAAGAAAGACTCGAGGGGACAGTTGGGTGATATTTTTATCGATATTTGACCGTACGGGGAAAAGATCAAAAGCTGAAACCATGTCTAGGAAATGCGAGGTTTGTATAAACAAGGTATTTTCTACAAAAGGAAATTTGGTGAGACATAAAAGAACGCACAGTGAAGACAAACCTTATGAATGTGATGTTTGTAAGAAGAGATTTTGTGATCCAAGTAGTTTTGCCAGACATAAAAGAACACACACTACAGACAAACCTTATGAATGCGATGTTTGCAACAAAAGATTTTCGCGGTCACATGTCTTAACTGTGCATAAAAGAACACACACTGGAGAGAAACCTTATGAATGTGATGTTTGCAACAAAAGATTTTCGCGATCTGACCTGTTAGCGGTTCATAAAAGAACACACACTGGAGACAAACCTTATGAATGTGATGTTTGCAACAGAAGATTTTCACACTCAAGCACCTTAGTTAGACACAAAAGAACACACACTGGAGACAAACCTTATGAATGTGATGTTTGCAACAAAAGATTTTCACACTCAAGCACCTTAGTTACACACAAAAGAACACACACTGGAAACAAACCTTATGAATGTGATGTTTGCAACAAAAGATTTTCTAATCCAAGTAGTTTTGCCAGACATAAAAGAACACACACTGGAGACAAACCTTATGAATGTGATGTTTGCAACAAAAGATTTTTACACTCAAGCACCTTAGTTACACACAAAAGAACACACACTGGAGACAAACCTTATGAATGTGATGTTTGCAACAAAAGATATTCTGATCCAAGTAGTTTTGCCAGACATAAAAGAACACACACTACAGACAAACCTTATCAATGCGATGTTTGCAACAAAAAATTTTCACAGTCAGGCAACTTAGCTAGACATGAAAGAACACACGCTGGATACAAACCTTATGAATGTGATGTTTGTAACAAAAGGTTTTTGCATTCAGGCAGCTTAGGGCTTCATAAGAGAACACACACTCGAGACAAACCTTATGAATGTGATATTTGTAAGAAGAAATTTCCCTGGTCGGCCATTTAGCTAGGCATAAGAAAACACATACTGGAGACAAACCTTATGAATGTCACGTTTGCAACAAGAGATTTTCAGAATCACGCAAGTTAACCTGGCATAAAATATCAGCACACAAGGTAAAGCAAAGTTTTGAGTGTCCTAAATGTATGAAAACATTCACACTTCATAGAAATCTCAAACGTCACTGGAGAGTACATTTGAGAGATGGCTTATTATTTTGCAACAGTTGTGGCAGGGAAATTTGTCAAGGACATGCTAGTTAGATACTGAGTGATGATAATTTTCTCTGTGACAAATGCAACAAACAGTTCCCTGATAATTGAAAGTTTATGTCAGCACAAGGCCAAAGACCATGGTACGTCCTACCAATGTGATGTCTGTAAGGAATTAGAAGCAAGAGAAGCAACTGGTATTGGTTATATCTGTTGTGTCTGTGATGTCTAGTTTGAAATTGCCACTCAACTTGAAGATCATATGAGTATGCATGACAATGTGCTGCCCTGCTAGCTAGGCAACATAAATTAAAACTATTTTGGGTAATACGTTCTTTCTCCAATTTATCTTGAAATTGTTTGGGATTGTTTGACTTGTTTTGTGATTGTTTTAAATTTTTTTAATTAAATACAGTATAAACTGTTCCGTACTGACAATGATATTGAAATTTTGGTGATGATTCAATCATGTGTTGATTGAGGGATCCATTTATCAACTGACATCATTTTTGTAATTATCTGTTGTTTTTGGTTGGAAATTTATTCATTAAACAAGCCTCCCAGGCTCCCGCTATAATTGAATTGTTTAAATTTCCCGGGTGATGACTACTAAGACCAGCATTCTTCCCAGGCATCAAGTCTTGTGACATCATTGTGCATAAGGTCTATTCCCCCTCTCTGTTTATACGAAAAACAGCTAAGAGTAAAATATCCATTTACTGAGTCAAGCCTGAGTCAAACGTCCGAGTCGGGTAAAAAAAATACGAAATTGAATAAAATTCACAATCGAATAGGGTTAGGAGTAGGGTTAGGGCACTAAGTCATTGAACTACAAACTGTACAAAGACCGCTAAACAGTGACTCGGACATTTGACTCAGATTTAACTCGGTTAACCGACAGTTAGGGTTCGTAGCGGTCTTTGAAATCCTTACCCTGGGTGCCAGAGGTTCTTCCACGCTCGTATATAGGGGGGATAATAAGGGATACACGAGGATTCAAGCTGGGAGGCGGCGAGCGGGAAGAACGTCTGGAACACTTCTATGGTTTCTCAGATCGAACCGCACCAATCACGATGCTTAATAGTGTGAAGTGATCCAGAATCTGGATCACAGTGTTAATTGGTTAACGGCAGGGACTTGTTAAAACAATGACTTTCATTGGCTGTTTGAACCGTATGTCCTTCAAGATATTATCGTTCAGAATCCGTACAGGCATACGCTGTTGTTTAATATAATAATATTATATTTATAACATAGTCAGGCGTAAATATATATGCCTCTAGTTTTGCGAGTCTTGCGAGAGGATTTCAACAACTCGGTGGCGGTTGATTCGATTTTGAATTTTTTTACTGGACGGTGTTACAAAACTCAATAAACATCAAGATGTTGCCTTGTTTCTGTGTTTCAGTTAATGCATCGCCGTGATATGTTTGCTATATTGCCAAGAGGGAATTTCGTGTGCGTGGCTGTCTAGTAATCAAGCATGTCAAGACAAGATGGGAGTCTTTATAGGCCTATTTATATCGAGGCGAATTACCCGGCAAGTCGAGTTTATACTCGTCAACGACAAGATCCCGGCTATATTATAGAAACTTATACAGTAGTAAACCCGGTTACCCGGGGGACTGTTTACATGTAGTAAAGAGTATAAACTCGCCAGTGACGAGTTCCCGGCAGAAAGAGGCGAGATATTGCCTTCGGCGAGATGAATAGGTGCCATATTTTAATATGACAACAGAACAAAAGATGTTCGGATATTTGTTAACTCGGCCGCCCGAGATCGAATGTATGTGTATAAATGTATGTGCTTTGCATTTGAAATAGGGTGTCTGTAAAAGCCGGAACCTCACCCGGAACACCCAGAGCCCTAGCCGGAACACCCGGAACCCCGCCCGAAACACCCGGAACCCTACCCGGAACAATCGGAACCCCACCCGGAACACCCGGAACCCCACCCGGAACACGCTGGAATTCGAGCTATGAAGCAACGCACGTGTTTCTCTATAAATTCACGTGTTTCGCATTAAATTCGGGGTGATGGATGGTTACGATCTTTACTTTTTACTTGTATTGTTGTTTTTTTAAATAATTTTTCTCATGGGCAAGGATAAATATATTATATCGGGCGGTATATAATATCAAATGCATGAGTTTTGCTTGTTTGTAAACGTGCAAACGAAGTTTCGCTCGAGGCGTTTGCCGCATGTACTATATTTTTCGTTTTCAATATTCTGCCGTACTATGTACCTGTGACTCTATTCTAAATTTAGTTGAACAATAACCAATATTTAACTTTGCTATCTTTTTTATTATTTGAATAATATGTTTGCATATGGTTACTTTGACTTGCAATTGTATGAAACGGCGCCATGTAGGAATTTAGAGGAATTATAAAGTTCATCCGTATTTATTACAATACGAATTCTCGTGGATTCGGGACATTTTTCATGGATTTCTTTACTAGACTTACTCGCTATTTTGGAACTTTGAAAGACGTTTTAGTAATTTAGAGAATAGAGGCTGTTTTGTATATGACAATGACTGCAGCCTACAGTGAAGTGCACGCGCGAGATCTCAGAATAACCACAGCAGAATAACAGTATTATTAAGTAAGCCCCCTTGATGACTGTGTACGCTCTTGGGGCAAACTCATTCTCATCAGAAATATATAAATATAGAGCACGAGGGAAAACGTCCATGACCATGTTCCTTCGATCAACGGCAGTAAATAAATATTGTATTTAATATATTAAATTAAGGACTGTGTTACTGTTGAAGTTATAACATGAACGTTTTGCCTAGTGGCTAGTGCTTTATATATACGACACC